GTTTTTAAGTAGGGGAAGGGATCAAGTGGTTAGAAGCATCGAAAAAAGGATAGCAGATTATACATTCATCCCTGTTGGTATGACACGTGATTGCCATACAACAGTAATTGTACTTTTATTCCCATGCAGTTATCTCAGCAGCAAGCACCTCATACTTTTATGGATTCTGATTCCGTTTGTTAAGCAAGTAATGTTATGAGTTTTTTGGGTTGCAATTCTATGCTTTGGTTATCAATTAAATACAAAATTGCATTGCGTATGAATACAAGAATGATTTTGTTAGATTTTTCTTGCAAACAAAACTTTTAAAATATTATTTCATTGTATTAATGTGCAATTAATTTTTGTTTGGTTGATGATCACGGTTCATCCAGTTTGACAAAAAAAGTCAAACTAGATGAATGCTCTAGGACGACGAATGCTCTTTGACGAAGGAAGTTGATTCTAATCTCTTATGTAAATACTCAATGTGTTCAAGGCAATTGACATTGTTGGGTTAATTCAACCTGAATCAATTGAGACGATTAAACTCAATCTGTTTCCTATGATATCAATGAAATCAAAGATAATTGAAGAGATTGAAGTTTTGATTTTGCTTCGTGTTCAATACAATTGTCATTTTACTTTGAAATTTTCATTGCACTCCATATGTTATTGCCTTATTGGTGGCTATTTTAATTATAGGAGAAAGATTTAATATGTTTTTTATGACATACTTTAATTGCACAAACTAAATTAAGGGCCCAAAATCACTCAATTGCACAGGACCCCCATAATCTACATTGTTTCCTAAATTTACAATTGTTTGGAATTATAGTAGCTTTTATTCCACTGACCTCAATGTTGTTGGGAGTTTCATATCCTTTTCTAGCTTACATTAGTTGTTTGGTGTCTATTAAATGATTTAGTGGACGCACTTTGCTATGCCATCTCTAATGTCCCTAATGTGACTGACTCAGACAATGGTGAAGGGCTGCAAGTTCTCCACTATGAGGTTGGACAAAAGTATGAGCCTCATTTTGATTATTTCCTTGATGAGTTCAACACGAAGAATGGGGGACAACGCATAGCTACTCTACTCATGTATTTGTAAGTCTGAAGCATCATTTGCGGTGTTATTTCCAACACTCGTTGAAGCTATTAATAGCATTTGAAGTCTTGAAGCTTTGTAACATATTCTTATGCTGCGTGGAAATGGAAGTAATGGAAAACGAGAAGCATCCCACTGTTTCCTTAACAAAAAACAGTTTTTTAAAGAAGTTTTTTTTAATAGTTTTCCTGAAGTTTTGAAAACATTACTTTCCAATAGTGTCTGTGAACCATATCCATGTACATTTTAGATGATATTTTTTTAATGCTTTGTCTATGGCAATTCATTTCATATGTTGGGACTTGCGCAGGTCAGGTGTTGAAGAAGGGGGTGAGACGGTTTTCCCTTCAGCAAAAGGCAATTTCAGCTCTCTTCCTGGGTGGAACGAGATGTCAGAATGTGCTAAAAGGGGTCTCTCTGTGAAACCAAAGATGGGGGATGCCTTACTCTTTTGGAGCATGAGGCCCGATGCGACTTTGGATCCCTTAAGTTTGCACGGTAAGAACATTTTCCCTTTCCACTTCTTGCACTACAGATGCATTGAAACAGACTCACTAATTCAACCAAAAGAGTGCGAAACAATTGCTGTTGAGAATGAAAAGGATCTGTGGATACCCATCATAATAAGGTTATGAAATGATCTTTATATGCCAATGTCAAAAGAACCAGAGTGGAAATAAAAAGCCAGTTTTGAAGAACTTCCATTGATGGAAAAGTCTCATTATCACTGTTTCTTAAAAACAATTTTGGGCTTTTTGTTTACTCCAGGTGGTTGTCCAGTGATAAGAGGAAATAAATGGTCATCTACTAAGTGGATGCATGTTGGTGAATACAGTGTGTAAATGCTTCTTTCTCTGTTCTTTGTGATGATCAAATTCCAGATTTGGAATTGAATGAGACCTATTTGTATAGTATTTTACTTTTTCTAACTTCATAATAATAAAAAAAATACAGTATAAAAAATTTCTACTCCCTTTGTCCCGAGAAGAACTTCTTCACTTAATTTTTTCCTTCGTTCTAGGATAAATCTTACTCCTTACATAAATCTTACTCCGTCCCTCTTAGATTTTTTTCATTACGTGTTATGAGGTTTAACTGGTTTTATTTTCAATTCAATTTATTTGGTTGTAGATGTAAAAATTGAAAGTAAAACTTATATACTCCATCCGTCCCAAATTATTTGCCACATTTGTATTCCCGAAACAAAATATCAAATTTTTTCAATTTATTTTATTTACATAATGGTATAGAAATAAAAAATAAAATTTATATATAAAAAAACTACATGAAATGTTCTTCGAAATAAGAGGTGCCAAGGATATTTTATTTTATCAAATAACCAATGAAAACGTCGAAATAAACAAAAGTTCCCGCGACTGCTGAAAAAGCAAATGTGGTGAATATTTAGGGACGGAGGGAGTAGTAAATATTATGGAATACATGATAAGTTTTACAAAACAAGAGGTGACAATACTATATTATTTTATGAGATGAGAAGTAAAAATAAGTAAATAAAGTGAGTTAAGTTTGATCATGTTACCTCTTATTTTATGGTGCTTTATATATATTTCGTAGCTTTTAAATATATAAATTTTATTTTTAACTTCACATTTTAATATGATTTTCATATAAATAAATTAAAAATAATTGTAGTCAAACATTGTAAATTGAAATGAATAATTTAAATTTGTACAGAAAGAGTAATTACTTGTTTAAAGTTAATTGACACCGACATAAAATGTTAGTGCAATCAAAATATTGTGCATTGACATTTCGTATCTATGTAACCCATCACATAGATATCACACTAGCACGAAATGAAAGTGTACACCCGTGATGTATAATTTGGATATAATTTTCGGTGTACAAGTAACTTATTTCTTTTTTATATATTTTTTTGACAAGCTCAAATTAGATTCAGAGGATCTCTCAATTAGGGGTGGGTTCGGTTTTTGTGGTTCGGTTTTCAACCAAAACTAAAGACAAAACGGAAGATAAATTGGTGGTTTGGTTTGGTTCGGTTTTGCATAAGAAATATGTAAACCGTTGGTTATTCGGTTCGGTTTTATACGGTTTTTATTTCGGTTTTTTCGGTTTATAAAAGTAGAAATTTATAAGCATTAAAAAATTGTAAAAACACTAACTCGATGAAACAATAACAATATGTAGTGTTAGCTTTGGTTTTTTTATTTGATTTTTACACAAAAACGAAAACCAAATGGAAGGTTATTGTTCCTTTTAGTTCAATTTTACATAAAAAATATGTGTTAAGAGCCCAACAAATATTTAGAAGATTTCAAATACTTCCAAAGACATTGTATGTAAAATAAATCACGAAGAATTTATATTTTTTGTATAATACTTTCGTCTTCATTATAACATATTGTTTATGTAAATTATGCGTATCAATCTTTAATCTTAATATAATTCTCTATTAGGATTAGCTATTGGTATTCATATATATTCTTAAGTTTTTTTAAAGTTTATAATAATATGGCTAGAATGTTTAGTTAATAGATAAGAAAATAATTTTAATCGACTAGTAATTTATTGCATTTATATTTCTATGATTTTTCTACGTATCACATATATTCATATAAATAAAGCGAAGTATCTAAGAAAGTCCGGTTTATTCGGTTCGGTTCGGTTTTTCAAAGTGAAAACCAAAACGGAACCAAACACTAACAGTTCGGTTCGGTTTTTTTACATCCGGTTTCGGTTTTTTCGGTTCAGTTTTTTTTCTAGCTCGTTTCGATCGATTTTGGTTCGGTTTGCGGTTTTCGGTTTTTCCGACCCAGCCCTACTCTCAATCAACTACTCCCTCCGTCCCAAATTATAATGCATGTTCACTATTCACAGGGTCAAACTTCATTCACTTTCTTTCTCTATTTTCGTTAGCAAATTGATAAAATAAAATATTGTTGTCACTACTAGTTTTGTAGATCTTTTGATGTAGTATTTTGATATGTAATTTTTATTTTTTAATTCTATAGCATTTGTTATATAAAATGATTTGAAAATAACTTCAGTCAAATATCGTAAACCGAAACAGGCGTTATAAAATGGGACGGAGGGAATATATATGAATCATTCTTTCTCACTCTTGTCTAAAGAGGACGAATATTCCCTCTCATTTGTGCTAAGGGATGTTTGCCATCCTTGGAGGGACTTGCTTAGTTATTGCGTTCCCTCCCGGGCCAAATTTTTCTTGGACTAGTTTATTATTCGCCACAAAAATTTTTTCTTTCTTTTTTCATTTGTCACAAAAAAATTTTCTTAGTTCTATTCAAAAATCACTTTTACCCTTACTAACTCTTAACTTCCCTATCAAATGATACTTTTTCACTATTAATCTATCCACCATATCTCATTTTTATCTATCACATCCAAGGACATTTTTGAGAAGTCAACACCAAAATATACTTTCTTTAAATTCTTAAAAAATTAAACCAAAAAAGTTTTGTGAGACAAAGAGAATATTTGTTTTAGCCGGGTATCTTTTTACTAAATTACTACTTCCTCTATCCAAAAATATTCTTATCGTATTAATATGACACACTTATTTAGGAGTTGAAAAAAGGGTGCCCAAGAATGTCCCTATTTAATTCAGGGGTGAATTAAATTGGGTGGGTGTGACTTAATGTGGAAGGATCCTACTAATATTTAGCCTTAAAAGTAAGCTAATAATAGAACCAAGAAAAATATTTCCGGACAGATCAAAAAAAAATGAAAAGAATATTTTTAGACAAAAGTAGTATCAGGATCTAGTAAACATAATTTTTTTGGACAGATGGACTACATCCTAATCAATATAGTTTTTAAATACAGATTATCAAATTTTTATTTTTTAATTTTTCATATATTTTCAAATATATTAATTATAAAATTATTTCATTTAGTTATTGTAACGTGTAACAAAATAAATTTTGAACCTTAAAAGTATTGAAACACAACTCCGATTGGAAATCCAATCATTTAAAAAAGTCATTAAATATGGATGGCAATGGATTATAATGCCGGTATAAATCGAGAAACAAATACATCTTCAGCAGCATATAGCCGGGTTCGTCTTCCCCAAAATCGCAATTCCGTGGCTCCCTTATCGTCCACCGTCGTCTCCATTGCGCTTCCTCGTAAGAAATTTACAGGTATGATTCGAAACGCCTAATTCAGATCCAGAACAAGTCTCCGATATTCGGATTTCTCGTTTCTCGCCCACCATTGGATTTTTCTATTGCCTTACAGGCTAGCTTTGTGTTAATGCTGTTCAATTGTTCTTTGTGCTGTTGGTTTTGGTAATCAGATGTTGTTAGGGTTGGGATTCTGGTACTTGTAGTCAATTGTTCTAGTTCTTAGGGTTAGCATCTTTTATTTTAATTGCATGATTTTTAATATTTTTAATCGATTTTGTAATCAATTTTTAATGTTGGAACAATACATAGACATTTAGGCTCTTAACAAATCCTTTTTACTAAAATTGGAGTATTAAAAACTATCCAAGTTCAAACGATCAAGCGATTACAGGAACAAAAATAAGTAGCTAATTAATGTTATAGAAAACAGTCTCATTCGTGCAAGGGCAGCGAATCCTCGGGGCCGGCCCTGTTTTAAGATATGAATTGAATACAACCCTCTCAATCTCTGTTTGGAAGATTCTCCAAGCCTATTAGCATTTCACTCTTTGGATCTTCTGTCCCCATGGTGTCACCCCTCCATTGTCGTCACTAGACTCCTTCGTGACACCACTCCTGCCGTCAGTTGTGAAGGGCTTAAGACTTGTTCTCTCCACGTGATCTAATTGGTTCTGATCTGAATGGAATAAGTTCTGATCTGGTCTGATCAAATTGTTATTGTATTTAAAGTTGTTTCTGATTTGATCTAATTCCAATAAGAGTAAGTAATACGTTATAAGAATAAGCTCTTAGCAAAACCTCTTATTTCTAAATGTAAGTTTCAAATAGTGCGGTCTTTATGCTCAACCCATAATTTAAGTAATTTTATCTTATTATTTGATGATAACATTTCAGAAATTCATTTTGTGGCATTATTCTAAGGGGTTCTTTAATAGGTTGATTACATTAGGATGTGGGTGATTTAAACAAGTTGGATTCCAGAAATTGAATGTTGTTGGGTTTCGCTTGTTCGATTTAACATCGGGTAGGAGAGGAATGAATTAACTATTAATTATGGACCTTTGGTGTATAATTGTTAGATGATTTAATTACGAGTTTGATCTGTAATTTTGAGGTTTATTAGGTGGATTCGCACATGCATACAGTAGTCCTGTTTTGCTCTGCTTTTAGTCTTTGATGCAGAACTTTAAAAAAAAATTGATTACCAAATCCTTTCCGCAGATCCTCTCACAAGTTTATTTCTTTGGGAAACAATGACTGCTGTTTAAACTATTTTGGTGAATTAAAATAGCAACGCTATTTAAAACTTAGAAGTTAGTATCCGTGTGAAATACATTGTTACTCAAACTCTATCGGTTTGAAATATCTGAAATGTATGAAGAGTTGAAAATTTCCGAATGTATAAATGCATGCAATCCAAAAACTCTATCGGTTTGTGGATATTCTAGATTTACAATGGCATGTAATCCAAAGACTTTCGAATAATTCTTACCCTAAGTTAACAAAATTCGAATTCCTTTATATATCTTTGCTGTTCTAGTTTTTAAAACGTTGTTTTTTGTATATTATTGGGACATTGACCGTTGGTTTTTGTATATTATTTATCCCCCACCCCTTTATCCACCATTCAATTTTATTTTATTTTTATTTATTTAATTTTGTTTTAGTTTCTTGCTTTTTTGTGTGGTGATGGAGGGGGTGGGGGACAAATGGGTACACCATCCCTAGCATTTTTTTGTCAAATTGCTAAGGGCGAATGCGAACAAAACAAACAAGAAATTGATGACATTATCCTTTTGTGGGAAGACTAATCCAACTGAAACAAAGGGAAATGAATTGAATCAGAATAACTACTCGAATTTCATCTCCATCTCCGCCGATTCTTGGCTACTTCTTGTTAATTCCAAAGGAAAACCGGTAACGAAAAGGGGAATTCTGGGGGCTAATGATCAGTTCCGGCGTCGAAATCCGTGAGGACATCTGATCGCGAACAGAGTAGCAACCGTTGTATGGATTATCACTGATTCAGACTCGAAACCGAAGCTCGAAAATGGGCAGTGAAGTGGAAGAAGAAGAAGAAGCAGCAGAAGAAGAAAAGCGGCCGCCTGATCAACAGTTGCAGCAGCAGAAGAAGAATCGATTGTTGAAGAGTAAAGCAGCTCTCTTCGTATCTGATCTTACCACCGTTATCTTCAACCCTATCTCCGATTCCTTGCGCAAACCCGGACCGCCCCCATTACCTGTAAGAATCAACTTTCCTCTTTTTTTCTTTCTAGGGTTTTGAATATATTCCTGTACCTTGCTGGATTGGATTTCTTTTTTATTCCATTTTTTTCTTTCCGGTTTTGATCGTTTTTGCTAATTTTAGTTTTTGCTTCCGATTTGGTTATCTCCAACCCTTTGCTTAACACCAATTTTAATGCTGAAATGTGTAAACATCCAATCCAACCATAATTTTCACCATTTTCACTCCAACAGTTTACACTATTTTTATCACCCCTAAAAAAGAGTATTCTCTATAGAGATTCAGCTTTACCCAAAAAAATAAAGAAAATGAAAGAGTTGAGAAATGGCCCTATGAAAAGAGAAACACACACACACACACCAAAGAAGAATATTCTCACCGTTTTGACTTCAACGTTTTATGTAATTGAATATCAGAGACTGTCTGATGTTTATCTTGTCTGGAGGAATGCTCTGTCACTCTCTCACCATTACCAAACTTTTGCATTTGGTTCGGGATAATTTGGATACACAAAAATGAGGATTAACATGTGCTTGATGATCAAAGAGTTTGGAGGTGTTCTGGGATAAAACATTACCAAAACAAAACTGAATTAACATATGGCTTGCATTTTTTTGGTTTCTGTCCTTTAAATTCAGACAGGATGAATGCTTTAGGACAATGAATGATATATGATGAAGGGAGTTGATTCTAATCTCTTATGTATATGCTCAATGTGTTCAAGGCAATTGACATTGTTGGTTTAATTCAACCTGACTCAATGAGACGATTAAACTCAATCGGTTGCCTATGATATCAATGAAATCAAAAATGGTTGAAGAGATTGAAGTTTTAATTTTGCTTTGTGTTCAATACAATTGTCATTTTACTTTGAAGTTTTCATTGCACTCCATATGTTATTGCCTTATTGGTGGCTATTTTAATTATAGGAGAAAGATTTAATACGGAGTATGTTTTTTATGAAAAACTTTAATTGCACAAACTAAATCTAGGGCGCAAAATCACTCAATTGCTCAGGACCCCATAATCTACACTGTTTCATAAATTTACAGTTATTTGGAATAATAGTAACTTTTATTCCACTGACCTCAATATTGTTGGGAGTTTCATATCCTTTCTAGTTTACATTAGTTGTTTGGTGTCTATTTAAATGATTTAGTTGACGCACTTTGCTATGCCTTCTCTAATGTTCGTAATGTGACTGAGTCAGAGAACGGTGAAGGGCTGCAAGTTCTCCACTATGAGGTTGGACAAAAGTATGAGCCTCATTTTGATTATTTCCTCGATGAGTTCAACACAAAGAATGGGGGACAACGCATAGCTACTCTACTCATGTATTTGTAAGTCTGAAGCATCATTTGCGGTGTTATTTCTAACACTTGTTGAAGCAATTAATAGCATTTGAAGTCTTGAAGCTTTGTAACATATTCTTATGCTGCGTGGAAATGAAAGCAATGGAAACTGAGAAGCATCCCACTGTTTCTTTAACAAAAAACAGTTTTTAAAAAAAAGTTTTTTTGTAGAGTTTTCCATTAGCATTGAAAACATTACTTTCCAATAGTGTCTGTGAACCATAGCCATATACATTTCTGATGATATTTTTTTAATGCTTTGTCTATGGCAATTCATTTCATATGTTGGGACTTGCGCAGGTCAGATGTTGAAGAAGGGGGTGAGACGGTTTTCCCTTCAGCAAAAGGCAATTTCAGCTCTCTTCCTGGGTGGAACGAGATGTCAGAATGTGCTAAAAGGGGTCTCTCTGTGAAACCAAAGATGGGGGATGCCTTACTCTTTTGGAGCATGAGGCCCGATGCGACTTTGGATCCCTTAAGTTTGCAGGGTAAGAACATTTTCCCTTTCCACTTCTTGCACTACAGATGCATTGAAACAGACTCACTAACTCAACCAAAAGAGTGTGAAACAATTGCGGTTGAGAATGAAAAAGATCTGTGGGTGCCAATCGTAATAAGATAATGAAATGACCTTTATATGCCAATGTCAAAAGAACCAAAGTGGAAATACAAAATCCAGTTTTGAAGAACTTCCATTGATGGAAAAGTCTCATTATCACTGTTTTTTAAAGCAATTTTGGCTTTTTGTTTACTCCAGGTGGTTGTCCAGTGATAAGAGGAAATAAATGGTCATCTACTAAGTGGATGCATGTTGGTGAATACAGTGTGTAAATGCTTCTTTCTCTGTTCTTTGTGATGAAATTCTAGATTTGGAATTGAATTAGACCTATTTGTATAGTATTTTACTTTTTCTAACTTCATAATAATAAAAAAATACCGTATAAAAATTTTCTAGTCCCTTTGTCCCGAGAAGAACTTCTTCACTTAAAATTTTCGTTTGTTATAGGATAAATCTTACTCTGTACATTATTTCTTGTTGATGGGTACCTCTTATTTTATGAAGCTTTATAAATAGTTTTAAATATATAAAAATTTTTAAGTTCAAAATAAATTTAAAATAATTTTAGTCAAACATCATAAATTGAAATGAATAATTTAAATTTGGACGGAAAGAGTAATTACTCGTTTAAAGTTAATTCACTGGCATAAAACATTGTGAAGTTACTCGTTTAAAGTTAATTACTCGTTTAAAGTTAATTCACACTGGCATATCATCAAAGTTAATTACTCGTTTAAAATGTTAGTACAATCAAAACATTGTGCATTGAAATGAAAGTGTACAAGTAACTTAATTCTTTTTTATTTAGAGTATATATTTTTTTTGACAAGCTCAAACTTAAATTCTTTCTTTTATAAACATGCCCTCCCTATCGACAATATATGAATCATCCTCTCACTTGTGCAGTTGTGCTAAGAGCACTCGTAATGGTCATGAAGCCCCGGGCTTCAAACCGGGGCTTCAAAATTTCTCTCTCTGCCACGTCAGGTTTAACTTACACCCAAAATTTACTGGAAATGGTTTTGAAGCCCTGGGGCTTCAAACCTTTATTTTTTACATTTTTAAATATACATCTTCTAAATTTAAATTTATAAATTCAAATTAATTTATTATTTAATTAAATTGAAACACGAATAAAAAAAATACATTAATTAAATAAAAAAGTGACAATAATTTAAAATAACGATACAATAATAAAAAAAACTAAGGTAATTTATATTTTTCCTTGATCTCTCTCTTTCTTTGCTCGTAGATCATTCGTCCAAACTCCGACAACGTCTCGGGGTCGGTTTGCATGACTTGCATCTCGGTCTCTTGCTCCTTTATCTTCAACTCCTTCTCCTTTAGCTTCAACCTCTCCTGTTCCTGGAGATTGAACGCCTGAAGTTGTTCAACCATTGCCAGGCCGATTTCGTCGCGGGGAGAAGCGGAAAAAGAGGCGGACCCTCCCGAACCAGAGGCAATGGATTTTGCCTTCTTTCTTCCGATTGGCCGTGGAATGGGGTCTTCGTCATCGGAACCCGCAACGTTGAAGGGAGGCATTTGATCGGTAGAACCGATAGTCTCGTCAACCTCAACCTCGGCGTC